GCGTTATAATTTGTTATTTAAATAATTAAGTAACAATTATCCTAACAATTAATACTATATACAAAAATTACTACTATACTATATAAATATATTAAATATATTTGATATAGTATAATTATAAAAAAATTGCTGTGTAAATGTTTTACACTGATGGAATTGTTTGTCTTTGCAGCAGGAAACAGGGCCAGAGAAATGCAGTCGTATTGCTGTTGGTGAGTAGATGTTGGTTTTTGATTGGCCGCTCCATCGACATAAACTACCCAAGCATTGTGTGAAAAGTCATGTCGATACTTTTCCAAATCAAAATCAAAACTCTTGCCAAGTACAAATATATTTGATTCATAATCCATCTCTTGTATCAAGAAGTCACAGACTATTTTACTGTAATAATGTGTCGGGCATTACAAATGGAATCCACATAGAATCATTCTTTATCCAGTAGACAGATTAAATTCCAAACCCTGTTACTGTAATAGGCACACTTGTAGCTCGCCATGAATTAGAGCTTTAATTAGATTAGCTACTATTTTAAACAAAATAACACTTTTCTTATGATCCATAGGTGTAATTTATAGGAAAGCCAGGTTCATTTTCTTGGGCAATCAATTTTGTGGTGTAGCAGAAGACTAATATAATTATGTAAAACGCTGAGAGCTGAGTATCGCAGTCAGCAGTCGGGTTTTTGGAAGATAAATGAAGATGCAATTTATTCACTCATAATTTTGTATAGAAAGTTCCTTGAGAGAAATCCATATGGGCTTCAGAATGAGGTAGGGACACTAATACTTTTTGATAAGGACTAACAGAACATTATAGTCAAAGCTTGGGTAATGTATAGTTACTTCAGTTTTCCTCACACATCTATGGGCTATCTTTCACAGTAGGAAGGATGAGATGAGCCCTGTGGCCAAGCCCTCTAAATCATATCCAGCGGAGTGAGTCATTTATTATACTTACAATTATATCAATATCACTAACACGTAAGAGCTGCGATAAATCCAGGCACATGAGCCTCTGTGACAACATGCATGATCAATGTGCAGGGCGGGCTGATAGCCACCACTTATTTGGAGCAGTTTGGCCGTAGGTCGCTCTGTTGAAGTGTTTTATGAATCAGCACCCTTTGCGCAGCTCACAACAGAAACTTGGCTTTACGTAACTCACCGCGCTTCATCTGTCTTTCTGCTTCATGTGGAAAAATAGTAACCTACTGGTCGTCCACTCATGTGATTTCAAGATCAACAAGTTTTTGTGCTGACTGCGCAGACCAATTATCACTATTTCTGTTTCAATTATGACTGTATACTTGTTTCCAAAGGCACTGCTAACCACCTCTAACTTTTTCCATATTGGAGAGTTTATTTCATTTTTTCAAAGACATTGGCTCAAGTTCAATATTGTGTGTGCTTTCATTCTTATTCCATCAATGTCAAATAAACATCCATATGGTGTTCTCTGTAGTCTAGAACAATTTTGAATAAATGAAAATGTGAAATCAAGTGGTGTTTTTACACTTGTATGAATACCAGGTCAGTTCAGTTAATTGTTTAGGCAAAAAAATGTGAATGTCCCATCAAGTTTTTTTAAATTGTTTTTATTATTCATATTGCAGTTTTGTCAAGCAGACAGACAATAATGTATTGGTTAGTATGAGATATTGACAAATACCTAAAGCATATATTTCTCTCAGTCAGCTTTATGCAGTTCATTAGGCCAATGCTCTGACTTCATTCTTTTTAGACAGGTAAAATAGTTCTACAGTTGATACGAGTTTGAGAGTTTATCTTTAACCTTGAGCAGCTCTTGACTGCAGGCCGTGAGTGAGTGACAGGGTAGTTGGCAGCAATGCCCCACCTCGTCCACAGAACCAATAGCTAATGACAGCAGAGGGCAGACAACAGGGAGGACTCGTGACAATGATGTCCTCCAGCCTTCACTTCCTCTTAGTGTTGCTGCAGCCAGGGACATAGATCAGGTTTCCCATGTATCAGATTCCCCACCAAAGCCTGTCAAGTTATAATCCGATTATACTAATGGAAAAGGTTTTAAACCCCAGATCAGAATGTGTCTAAACAGAGCACTTGTATGTTGCTGTTGTTGTTGTTGTTTTTCACTTACAAACTCATTCACAATCCTTAAAGTGGACAAGATTAGTGTAATTATTATTTGTGTTCTTTTGGCTTAAAAAAGGCTATATGTATATTCTCAACAACTGAACAATATCCCAAACTGTTCAGGCCAGGAACCCCAAAATGACCAGCTGAGCCAACAATTGTAGAGTACTATTTAAATCTGTTTTCTGTTTTTAAATGTATATGTTACTGCTGTTTGTGTGACCTAATTCCACTAAAATATAATGTAATTTAAGTAATGTATTATTACTTTTTAGATAAATGGTTCAAAACTCAAGCATCTATCCATAGTCCAGTACGTCCCCCTTCCTTTATTATTAAACTGTTCAGGAGAGATGTGGCTCCATTTCCATCTGAAACACTTTAAAAGAGTGTCCCTTAGAGACAAGGGAATATAGCCTATTTTACATCATTTGTAGATGTGATGTCTTCTCGTGTGGCGTTCGTGTCTTCAGATTGTCGTCCTGGAAAATTAAAAACTTGAATGAGGATAAACGCGACGCAGTCTTTTACGCACCAACTTTGCGTACCTGGCACACATACGTACAAACAGTGGAAATCACAACTAGTGTAAAGTCACTGTAATCTCACGCGTAACCTCAGCTGTTGTCCTGTTGTACGTCTCCGGTCACGCTGCTCACCAGGATGCCGATTTTTATGCCCGGCCCCAGCAAAAATCCAGTTGGAGAGATGAAGCTATAGAGTCCGTTGGAGTTCTTGTTATTACTCGTTATTATTTCGCCTATCGTCGCGACTTCCCTCTGTGTATCACAAGCCCTGACCAGGGGGCGTGGTCTCCTCCCATTCAGACCAATCACAACAACAGTGCGCATCTCTGTACACAACCTCACAAATCATTGCATTCTCATCTAAATATATGAGTTTTATTTAGTTGTTTGTGTGTTTGTCATATATTGATTAATTCGGGTACATCTGTGATGTATTGTTATTTTACATTTGGGAGTTGTGCAAAAGCATTGTCGCGCTTCATTATGAGTTATATATCTGTAATAACCTTTAATATGTTTTTATATGTTTTCATTTTGAATCACTATATTGACCTATTGGCTTGAAAAGCCTAAATTGCACATATGGCAGTCCATTTTCTGAGTAGGAATAGCCATATTGAGCTAGGCCTATATCAAGAGATTATGTCAAATAGATATAACGTATAAAATTACATTTATTATCACAAACGAAAATATATTGAAATTAAAATATATGTAGCTTTGGTCTGAATTATTACGTTTTGTTACGCCACCTAAGCATCATTCTTAAAAATAACCAGTCAATTAAATATGTCTAAAAATAAGCTGTTTGAGGATTCTAGTTCCCTTTTTTTCCGAGTAGGACTATACAGCATTTTAAAATCTTTACTTTCCCAATGAAAATGCATCTTTTTTTAATCCAAGAAGGCGTTTTCTTTTTGTGGATTTCCCTTCTCATTAGAGGACGGCCTGTGCAGTTTGAAACGTGTTACGTGGATTTGGAATGCAAATGCTTTGTTCGCGAGGAGGAGGGATCAGCGAGGAGTCTGAAAGCGACGAGTTTTTGATTAATGAGCTTTGAAATGGCTCTCCAGGAGCAATAAAGGATGAACTGCGTTCTCTCTGTGCGCGCTCACTACGCGCGCCGCCATGGCTGCATAATTCCCAATGTCAAAGTAGCCTGTTGTATTTCTCTCGTCAATATATTGTGCTTTAGCTTCTCATAAGTTTGGGAACATCACTGGTAAATGTCAATGGAAGCTTATATTGAAAGATGGAACTGAGATTTGATTGCATGTAGGCCTAATTTAAAGGCTGCTCATCTGTCCATATGTGTCACTGCAGGCGACTCTCCACGTTATCCTTTATCCAGAGGCTACCAGAAAAAGCTGATAGTGAAGAATCAGCACCACATCTGGATATGTTCTAATTCGGCAGAAATAAGAGTTTCAAAAGTATAATATGCTAGAAATGAAAACTAAGATCCATCATCTAATAGTGTACTTGAACATTGATAAAATATAAACATTTGACATATTTCATCACTTTATTTACAAAATGTTTAACACGATCGATAAAATATAACATTTTGATATCATTAGGGTTTGTATTTTGTGGGCTACAAACAAAGAAGTAACAATGTAGAACAAATCAAACAATGGCTACACAAAGTGACATGCTGGTGCATAATACTGTGTTAAATACTTAGATAGTCTATGTTCTTAAAGTTGACACAAAGTTTACCATGGACATACGGTATAGTGGTGTTATACACTATAAATTGCCCCATTTATCCCACTTTAAGAAATGTGCTTGGTCCACACAAGACCCAAGTCATTTCAAACCCTGTTTCCCACACTTCCAAGTGCATTGATGTGTCCAATCTTACAAAAGTTACATATAAATACTCGCATAAACGATAAATAATGTGCAATACCAATTTAAATAATAAATAGAATGAGGCTAGTAAGAAATAATATAAAAAAATATGCCAATAAATAAGTTCGACTTATGCGAGGAATTGCTTAAACAGACATAAAACTAATGATTCATTTTCTTCTAAAGATGAGCTTCTATGATCTACTATCTTCAAGTAACAGCATGAAATATTTAGTCCAAAACTGCGCATTGCACATGGATAATGAAACAAACTGATAACAGTCTTGTGTGTCCCTATTTAAGGGAGTGGACAAAGCTGTATTCAAAAAATAATAACACTATAGCATTTAATAGTCATATCAATAATACTGTAATAATACACGACGCACTCAGAGCGAAGTTATTAGACTAGTGAGGTAATAAAAAGAGCGCAACATAATTTGGCACACACACACGCAGTCGCTCACGTAAATACGCACAGGCATACACAATATAAGACATTTTACAAATGTGTGAGTTTAGGCGCTTCCTGAATCCTTCCCTGAGACGCCTGGTGAGACGTGAGGTCTGTGTACGTGGGGTGGGGATCACAGGGTCCGTGGTGGTGGTTTCCTGGGATCTGCGCCGCGCAGCTGTAGTCCACACTGGTGGATGACGGGTGAGGAAGATGACCGAGGTTGAACATGGGGCCCGAGGCTGGCATGGAATCAACAAAGTTCCCACCCACATAAACTGGGCTTCCTTGTAAATTTGCATTGGCAAAACTATTGGTCTGCAAGCCGTGGTGTTCGTACTCAGAGCCCGGGTACCTTTTCTGCTGCGGGATGCATCCACCTAACGGTGCCGTGTAGGCGGCCAATCCGTACATGTTTTGTTGTGGTTTAGCAAAGGAAGGCGGTGAGGGCGCGTCGTAACTGAGGCTGTTCACATTTTGGAGTTGGCCGGAATACCCAATGTGATTTGGGCCACTCAGTGGAGGGCTCCTGTCCGGAGAGTGTCCCAGAGGGGAATGCGCCATGCCTTTAGATTTCTGGTCCTTTTTGTATTTCATCCTTCGGTTTTGAAACCAGATCTTTATTTGGCGCTCAGTTAGATTCAACAGATTGGCCATTTCCACTCTCCGAGGGCGACACAAGTAACGATTAAAATGGAACTCCTTCTCCAGCTCCACAAGTTGAGCACTGGTGTACGCGGTTCTGACTCGCTTGGAAGCCGGTCCTGGAGGGCTCTTTTCATCACTCACCTCCCCTGAAAAAGACACACATCCAACACCATGAAACTCCAGACATATCGCTTTAACGTATTGGAATGTTCCGGGTTTTATTTGTGTATTTTAATATCATATCAGATTAGAAAGTATAATATATTATATCATATTATATTATATTAATTTAGGGTAAATTAAATTATACTATACATTATATTATGACTATTATATAAATCCAATAATATTAGACCACATTTCCTTTACCTGCACTCGCACTACAGTTGTTGCTCTTCTGTTTGGAGTTTTGACGAGTCTCTTTCATCCAGGGGAATATCTGCTTGGTTAAGGCCGGTGTGGTGGAGCCTGATGCTCCAGACGGAGATTTCTTCTTGGGTGTAGAGCTGTTAGAACCGGGGGATGCAGCAGACAGTGGTGGGGGCTGCGGCTCTCCCACGCTGCTGGCCTGGCTGCTGCTGCTCTGGGTACTGCCCTGGCGCATGCAGTCCCCAGTCATCTCGCTGTCTTTGAGGCTCGGAGTGCGCACAGTAGAGGTCTGGATAGGGCACACTGGGCCTTGGTATTCAGATTCAATGCTGGCGCCCGTGTAGGACTGGTGAGAAGGGCCATAGTTGTAAGAGTCAGGTTTGGGATAGCTGTAGCCTCCAAACAGTCCAGAGTTGTCATAATATGTAGCTTTCTGCATTTTATTTCTCAAAGTTAATGCGCCAGGGGCATTGGTGTTCTTTTATCACGTGATTGGTGTCTCCCACTGGCCCGTCAGTCTCCGACCTAAAAGAGAAACATCATAAAGCCTGGGCATGAGGTGTTTTGAATATAGCATCAGTCGCACTAGCAGATGTGCCACAAATGGCCAGTGGACCACAGCGCTATATCTACTCAGTGCACTTAAAACAAACTGTTAAAGTTTAACTTGTGTTTAAAAAGACCTCTGGGAGACCTGTCGGCTCTCTAGAAATAAGCTGAATCAGCCTCTGACACAATGGGCTTTTCACTAATCACGAGTCTGACAAAGCCCGTCACGCATTGTCCCTGCAATATAGGAGCTTGTGCGCCACGACGAGCGCATTTTACCCTGGCTCACGAATGGTCTTGCACTGCTCTGCGGTCTCTTATATCCAACCAACTATCCACACATAGTTTGCTTGTGTGTGCTGGTGCTATAGTGTTTTGGATGTAAACTTGTTTATTGGTGCTATTGTAAAGTGCGTTGTTGCGACTATACTTATGTGTGAGCAAACTCGCTGAGTTGATAGAGGCCTAAATGCATGATATTCTTTCTTAATTATTTTAACAATCAAAACGTGCTAAAATGACTTCAAAGGCCGTACCCTGTGTGTTGGTGGTTCGAGGAGCTGCAGTTTGCTCCGCGCATAACAATTGCACCTGTCAGTGTGGACCGCGGCAAAATTTATGACCGCAAATGTTATGGTTGTAAACGGCCACAGAGAGGAATGAAAGCAAAACAGTGCTCAGGACGCACAGCGTAGGAGGAAGGCATGGGAAAGAATTTGATCTTGGGCCGTTTCTCTCACTTAAGACTCGGTCTGGACCCAAGCCGCCCATCATTCTCCTCGAACCAAATCCGCTATAGTCGCTTTAACCGCGAAGCTGTGCAAGTCATTGGGCTCCGGTGCGATCCGGGCATTTTATATTAGTCGTTTGCATGGGTGTAGTGCAGGCTAATTGGGTAGGGTGCATTAGGCGTTGCGTTTTATGTCTTTTGTTTTATGGGTTTTATTCTGTATGCCTCATGCTTTAGCTTAGTCTTTAGTTTATAACATTTATTAGGCCAATGCGATATAAAAACATCCATTATATTACTCTTGTTTTTTTTTATTATTTTAGTTGTCTTACCAAGATTTACGTAAATAGATTTTCTCACGCGTACATCACTGCAGCCTTCTCGACCTGCAACACAGAAAGAAATGTTACTGTCTAAATTCTCTGTTATCTATTTTATCCACTAATTCAAATATAGCCAGGGCGCTTATTTGTTTTTAAATATATTATGTATCTTTACTCTCATACACTGAATTTTAAATGTTCATGCAAATCTTTCTTTTCAGTAATCCTACTTGACAAGATGTTGTGGCTCTGCCTCAAAGGCATTCTGAAAAAGTCCTGCATGTGCACTTTTCCACAAAGAACCCTTCCAAATATTTAGCCGTCATAAGCTTTTTTGTTTGACCTGAAGGTCAGTGAGTTTTAAGTCAAAGTTTAATGAACAACGAGCACTTGCTTGAAGAAGCCATCCTCTCTAAACGGGCCGCGTTCTGTCGGTGGGACTTGGAGATGCTGTATCGGCGGCTGCATCAGCTCCGTACGCGGATGCTGGAGCTTGGCTTGTGGATTACGGGCTTGTTTTTGTGTCCCCTCGAGTGCTTTAGCCCACTAGTACTAGTAGCAGACTAGTAGCAGACATGCTTCTCTTTTCATAGCGCTGTGTTTTTCGCCTACGCGCTTTTACGGTAAGTTTGGCTCACACAATGGCCAGACTCTCTGTCGAGTTCTATTATGATCTACTCAGCTCTCAGGCTTTGCTACATGATATGTATTTATGCATATATATATATATATATATATATATATATATATATATATATATATATATATATATATATATATATAAATATATGTGTGTATATATATATATATATATATATGTAATTATTATTTAAATGAAAGAAAACTGTTTTGAATATCTGCAACCAAATGCAGGTACATTATAAATTCAAATTCGAACGATTCAAAACCTGAAACGTCGGCTATTAAAATAAATCAGGCCTATAATTGGACGCGGTCGGTGTACATAGCCTATATTCTTCATAATAAAATATTGTAAATAATAGAATAATCTAAAGACCCAAACAGCTAAATATAATTTTCGGTTGAAAGTTAACAAAGCCGTACAGTTGCAACCACATAAATCACTGCAAACGCCACAGTGACGATAAGACAACAAATTAATGTGATTTACGATCCAAGAGAGAATAACGTAAAGTTCGTCTTCTATCTTCCTTGGAGTCACTTCTTATTAAAATATGGTGAGCTAAAATCTCTGGGCACCTTCGGTCCAATGTGTCGATAATATTTGAAAGCAGATCTTAAAATTATGAATCTGCTTTTGAAGAGCTGCAAGTATAGCATAAAAGTCCATGTCCGCGTGCGCCTCCAATCGCCACATTAACAAGCAGTCCATTGAGTGGAATAAATCACACATATTTCCCAGCATTATGTTAACCTATCGTTAAAGGTTGCCTTGCAGTTGCTTACCTGTGTATCAATTCATCATAATGCTCCTCAGTTTGTCTGTGCGCGCGCGGTGTAAATCCTTCAGCCTTTGTCTGGACACAATGCTGTCCTAACCCTGATGTTGCTGTTTTTCAGACATTTCCATATACCAGTGGAGACACTATTCCCGAAAGATTGGAAGGTCTCGCATACAGCTACCAATAAAAAGCCAAAGAGGTAGCGTTATTCCTAAAAAAAAAATCCTGGCAATCAATCATCAATTGTGTAGATTTGAGTCAGGGATAGGCCTGCGCTGACGTGGAGCCAGCATTAGAATTTAGGTGTTTCGGAAGCTATATGATGACAAATCAAGGCGCTGCCTTAAGACACACGCATATTTGTTCACGTGATTGTTCTCCTTCACCCAGCTTCAAACGACCCTTACCTCACCAATCCATTTTGATAAAGGGTGGTGTTTATTTCCTCGTCGGAACTATACGTGGAATTCTTACATTCTCCGTGTCTCTTCATATGCCAATGAGCATTTAACGGTGCTTTTACAAATCCAGCTCTTGGCTTCCAAAGACCTATGCATTTACTGCCATTTTTAGAGCCATGTATTATGTAAGAAAATTCATTCATAGCTAATTTTATTTAAAACAAAAACAATGCGCATATAAAAAGCAAATGATTACGCGTTATATTTGATATTATCACGTGTTTATTTGTGTTTTTACTGGACTGTAAATTGTGTTTTATTCTCCTGAAATAAACGGCGTGGGATTTCTGTCCATCTGTGCGGGATTGTATTCAAATAAACCACATTATCATCTATTGTTTCCTGTGTCTGTCTCTACACTCAACGCGTAGATCCAGGAATAGTCTGTGTTTAGTCTGTGTTTCTTCATTATCAATCACACAAAAATATGTCGACCTGAAGAAGAACAGTCTTTGAATGAATTTGAAAATAAATCCCTTTGTGCTACAAGCGGAGCGTTCGGAGCGGCGCGGCCACTGCTGCCTGTGAAGAGGGATGCTCGGCTTGTGTCGGCGCGGCATATGTTCAGAGGGCAATAAAAGTGAAAGATTTACAGTTTTCGGCCGGCCCCCAACAGCATAGCACCCTTTCAGGAACTACTGTCAATGATTTACAAGGAGATAGATCTGTCAACCCGTACAAACTTGTACCACTTTCAGGGATCAAATTCACATCATCCATCGTCAATAAAGAACAATACAAAACAAGTATGGGCCACTGAAACAGACAAGAGAGCGCTCCTGGTCGTATACATCTTAACCAACGTTAAAATTGTCCTAAATGCAAACATCTGTTCTATGTAATACCCAAATTTGCGCACAAAGCTGTTGTCAAAATATCACTGGTAGAACATGCAACCACAAGTATACACGATTATTAACCGTGCAAAGAGAGAAATATCAGCGTTAATGGCCACATTATAAGGAATAGGAGTGAAAACCTCGAAGAATTGTGCCGCGCGCTCAAATCAAAGGCAGCAATTCATCAAATATCACGACATTTGATATCGTCATGTAACAGCCAAGGCAAAATGAAAAATTCTGAAATGTGTACGTACCAAAGCATCCATTGGATCTGCTGTTTCGGAGAAGGCTATACGTGTGCCGGCTATCGGATATTATTTTCTTGGAGGATCTCTTCAGTTTTCAAGTCTGATAGAGTCCTCGCGATTAATGACGACGCCGTGTTTCTAGGGGGACGTGCTGCATTAATTATTTAGACAATCACGTGGTCGAGAATAGAGAGTCTGGTGGTATAGTCTCTGGCTGGTATCTGTTGATGCTTATATCTCATGGGCTTGACTGGATCCGAGAGGCTTCTGCGAAAACAGCTGGAAATCAAATATGGCCGGATGGAGAGCAGCACGTTGTATTCCAGCTCTGGCTGCAGTGTCATTGAAAATGGCACTGCCATTGGCTTCCATTTATTGCTGCTCAGACATGTAGGTCAGCGTGCTACACACTGCACGTATTGGGCTGCTATGACCTGACGTGTGATGATGGAAACAGCATTATATGCAGTGTGCACCTTGATCCTTAATTATGAAAATAATACGTTATAATCTCATTTTAGTATACTTTTGTCATCCCTATAAATCCATATAACTGGATTGTATAAATAACGTGGCTTTATTGTGAAACTATACCTATTCTCATATTGCCATCAGCATCTATTAGATTGTCATCAGTGGCAGCATCACTTTGTTCTTGCTACTTCTCCACCCAGGCTCAGGGAACGCGCACGTGCGCGTGCACACTTATCTACCTAAGTTTTGGACTAAGTCTGGCTCTGCTCGTTATGGCTTGATGGTATCGACAAGAGTGGAGGTCTATGAATGCGATGACACTCAAAATCTAGCTCATGCTTGATGACGCCTTAACGTCCTCACGGTGGATCCATGAGGGATAAGGACAGGCTTTACTGTGAACCTTTCCCTCTGCACTTAAGACTTCAGACTTTGTCACTAAATGCTTCATACCTCACACCACTTATATTCGGATTCATTGCTGCATTAAGACTAATTTATGTATCAAACGGATGCTTTCTCCAGACAAACATCTAGATGATAAAATATTCAATAGTATTGATATTATATTGTGTTTCATAATAAACAGGGCTATTGCACTCTGTATCAAAATGTTTATTTGACAGAAATATACAAGTGGGGAATATGTGGCTCAGCTGAGCTATAGTCACGTATAGGAATATTTATTTTCAACCAACATATCTACTAAACTGCTTTGGTCTGGAAAAAAAGGGTAACGTTATTAAATATAAATAAGTCGACACGCATTTCTAGAAAATCCTTCATGGGGGCTTTATATCACTACACACATGTTTTCAAACATTATTATGATAATAATGATGATGGCAGGTAATAATCGAATATAATGATAATCATAATAATATTAGCCATTTTATGTTTCCTCAACCATTTTATACATCACCTTTTGAGTCAATATTTGAAGCCAGCTTTGAACTGAAATCTACCTTTTTGGGCATCTCACTTTTAGACAGTTATAGCATCAAACTGCATATACCAACCATTTGGTAGAGGCCTATAATCTATAAGGGATTTTAAAAAAAACTTCAAAAAAACGTTTGTGTGGATTTCCTACATCTTAGAAAATCCAAAAAAGAAAATACCATATTGCTTTCTTCAAGGTTAAAGGGTTAATAATAACATGAAAATTGTAACTGATAATAATGCAAGGAAGCATTACAAATATGACTAGATGCACAGACCTTTCGGCGCATCAATTTTTTCCAGACTGATTGTTGAAAATGCGCACAATTCTAACTGGTACTTTTAATATTCACGTCACTTTGTAGTTTAATCAAATGTTGCAGCAGTTATGCGACGTGTCCGCGGGTCAGGGGCTTCAGGTCAGTCCTTGCGGCTCAAGCGTGTCCTCTCGATGAACCTGCCCGCAGCTTGGTCCACCTTCTACTGAAATGATACATTTTCTACACGAAAAGACAAAAAGGCTCTCAGACCTGCAAGCGCACTTTTTATCCCATAACAAAAACAACCATAAGAAACTAGTTCTGCCTCCCCTCCACCCCCAACGCCGCGGCCCACAATCACACTTTAAAACTATACGGCCTTCTATTAAGCATGCTATAAACGCACACCAATTCACAATCAATTCAACGAATACTTTTATTTAAAATTGTATGTTTGCTATAGTAAAATGTACAAATTTTAAACAAATAAATAATAATTCATACAAAGAAAAATAATTATGCTCCTAAATACTTTGTGTTCCGTTCTTTCCAATGAGAAACATCCAATATCAATTTTATGCCATGCAAAGAACAAAAGATCTTTTATAAACAGTATCAGTTGGCACGAGAGAAGCTCTGAAAATGTACATTGTTTACAAAGGTGTCAAGGAGATTTATAAGGGCACTCGGAATAGTTTGCACACAGGAATGTCTGGATTTAGCCTTGATCACATTTAGGCTAAGAGAAAACCAAAGCCTTTTGTATAAAATAAGTTAAATAATGCAAAAAAAACATGGATCTAGCATTTCTAAAATTTCAAACTGTTTGGCGTGCTCTATATGTAAATTCGTTCAAGTATAGATTCAGGCAAACAGATTTTGTGCATTGAGAGTTTAGAGGAGAATTAACAGCTTGTGCGTAATGATAGGCTGCATGAATGGCGTCACCTTTTTGCCCAAAAGACAATTCGAAGTTCAAACCACCGTGAATCCACATGAGATGAGATGAAAGGTGTTATAGTCCATAGACAGCGGAGTTGGCGTTTAATGCTGCTTTATCTCTTTGTGCTGATGTACATTAAACTCTGCTGATTGTTTCTTTAGCAAGACAAAAGTCAGAAACACTGCTTCGGTTGTTTTAAATAATCAGAACAAATAGAGCTCTTCCATGCAGAGGTCAGAATGCAGCCTTGTCTTGTCCATACAGTCCACTCCTGTGTGTCTCTATAACGTGGTGATGTCCGTGTGGGGCTCCTTGTGCAGATGACCGGCCACTGCAGGGGCAGATCTGCCTTTGGTGTTGGGCAGTTTGTGGTCTTTCTTCCATTTCATACGGCGGTTCTGGAACCAGATTTTGATTTGCCTCTCAGATAGGCAAAGTGTGTGCGCGATCTCGATCCTTCGTCGCCGGGTCAGGTACCTATTAAAGTGGAACTCTTTCTCTAGCTCCAAGACCTGCTGTCGTGTGTATGCGGTTCTGGACCGTTTAGGCTCGGACCCCGTGTAATCTGGGTTCACTGGCAAGAAACAAACACACAAGGTGTCACCAAATGGGAGCAAAGCACACAACAAGAAGACAACAAGAGGCGCGTCCTGACAGAAGTTTAGCCACTTTCATATGCAGCTATATAAACAAGCATATAGTAACGAGAAACGAAGAAAACGGACATATTCAAGCGCGTATTTTGACTTTTGAGCAGCTTTGAGGAGCACGCCTCGCAGCCCATTTCCTAAGCTATAAAAATGTATGACTTGTGTAATTGGCGAGGCCTTTCAAACACTGCTATAAATATCAGAGTGAATGATACGAGCGCGTCTTACCCGTCGTTACATGCACTTTCTTCATCCAGGGGTAAACTACTGCTGGCTGCTTGCCCTGCTGCCCGTTGTGGCTCTTTGTGTTCTGGTCACACGTCCTGTCTCCGCTCGCGTGGACCGTGGGCCCCTCTTCCGCGTGGCTCTGCGTCCTGTCGTGTCCATGACCCCGTGGCGGCACCGGGACTCGCTCCTGTGTGGTGTTGCAGCCGAAGGACTGCTCCGTGAAGTTGGACCGTGGGTAGATCCCTGGATGCTCAAAGTCAGTGTCCTGCGCGGGGCTGAAGTAATCCGCGCCCTGCTCAGGTATATAGTTATTTTGAGAATATTCCTCACACGGAGGAAATTTCGGATCCACATACTTAGAGTTCACCATATACGAATTCATGGCCATTAATTTCTGAAGGTAGAAAATACTAATTTTTCTCGAGTTGTCTTTTTTTCCACCCTCCATAAAGCCCTCCTACTTTCGTGTCAACTGAATAAAGTTAGCAAACCATGTGACCAAATCGGCCAATGGAGGTGATGCTAGCTGATAAACGAGTAAACACACAACTACAAGCAATTGAATTCAACTTAACCTACTCCCAATTTAGACCTGGAAAGAGGAGCAGAGAGGGAGAAAAACGATTGAAGATTACAAAGTCATATCTATTTCTGCGTCAGGCAGAGTTTGCAGCTCATTTTTACAGCTTGATAGTATCTGATCTAGTTTAAGAGCGCACATTATATATGAAAAAATAAAAACAATATTACGTTATAGTAGTATGTTATAGGTTAAGGAGTAAAAAACAGTTTGGGTAAGCTTTGAGACACGGTGCTGCAGGACCCAACAAAAGCTGAAGCCCCTTGGCATAAAAGCACAAAAGAATGACTGCGGACAATTGATGGACAGTGTCTTTGTCAGGACAGGGGTCATCCAAAAGTTACTCCAGTCCCATCACTTCATCTGCTGCCTTCCCTTTGACTGCTGCGTCTCTGGAGTCCATTGGCCAGAGGCAGAGGTGCAGTCATCTCAGAGAATCAATAATGAAGAGCCACAGTAATAAAACACAAACAGTATACTCCTCAATGTGTATGGTCGGGCCACTTATCTCCACACTACTGATCATTATAAGTGAAACATGAAATGTATAACAGTTCCATTCTTTAGTCGATACATAGTAATTGAACACTGTCATGTACAATTTAGGATATCTATCTTAACTGTGTCACTATAGATCAGCTGACAGCACTTCAAACACTCAACGAGCCCAGAGAAGATTGCAGCAAGTCAATACTTCGACGTTTGTTCATCGACCACATACTCCCCTAGAATCGAATCTGTGACTGTACTTTTATCACACAAATTCGGTTCTACAGGGTATATATAGACGACGGTGTTTCCCAAGCCACTGTAGTTCGCAGATACATGTATATGGCCTGTTTGTGGTCAAGTTTTACGCACGGGGATTGTGACTGTCTGTCTTGTGACTTATGACAAATATCATTAGCTTCAGGAGACACTCATTCTTTGAAAAATAAAAGAAAGGAAAGAATGGCACTAAAGGGAAAAAAGTAAAATACCCAACATAAAAAGTAGCAGAGTGACAAAAACGGGGTTGTTCTTTCTATGTCGTACAATATGAGAAAGGCACGTTCTATGTCAATTTGAGTTTATATGGTATCACATTTTTCATTAAAATTACTTCCTAATAAATAATAATGACGATAATAATAATAATAATAATAATGTGTAAAGGCAACTATCTAAACATCGCGAAAGCACAGGCAAATATATTCCACGACGATGGCATTCAGCAGATGTGCAGCTGTAGTTATAAGGGTTGGCCACCCAGGTCAAGCCAACTCACTTACATCATTATACAAAGTTGAAATATTGTTCAAGGCAATGACAGCTCCAAGGGTGCATGTAAGCCCTGATCACTGTAAACCTGGATGTTTAAAGGCGCGTTTACGCAGTGAATGAAGTCCTGAATATTGGAGGTAAATGCTTTGCCTGCCCTTAATGGCATTCTCAAGATACTTTTGATTAAAAGTGCAGTTACTGGATCGTTTTTAAATGGCTGACGGATAAGATGTGTTTTAATCTCCACTGTGGTTGAAATGCAGAGAGAATGAGAGATTCCGTATCCTCCGACAGGCCTGCTTAATTATCAGGCCTACACCCCACTGCATTACGCACAGCAATAAATGCTGCGTCCTATTGTTGTGTTTGATATTTGTAATCAGAAATGCATTTAGAAATTATTCTAATACCAAAAAAAACATTGAACACCATGTAATGTCGCCCATGTTAAAGGTTCCAAAGTTAATTGAATGAAGATCTAACATATCAAATTACTGTAAAATAAATGATAACTTTTCTTTAAAGACTATACCTTCGTGTATATCCATATAAGTGGGACGGTGACCTGGCTTTCACCTCATATTCCAGACGGGTCAAAGCCAAGATTCACAAACAAAAGAATGATAAAGTCAGCGTTTTCCAACACGGCTCGCTTTAAAAGAGAGGCCAACACCTCTATTTGACTCCTGTTCACTTCAATCACCACATTTCCCTCTCTGAAATACTGTTCTCAAGGGGGATACGCGCAACAAGCATGGGCCACTCATTACGCATGATTCACTTTACGCACAATGGTCAAAAATATATAAATGCATGTTGTGATAATGATTCAAACACATGTTTGATTTATATAGGCTAAAGCTATATTATATTTTCCATGCAAGAAGACTCATTGTTAAGGATACATTTATTCGGGAAGGCCTGTTTTTATAATAACATTAGCAACATGTGTATTAGGTTGAAAGAATACAGCATAAGATTGTGCCTCAAACCTGCTACTAATCAATACAATGATGAAATATACACGACGATTGTCATGCAAACCTGGTAGCCTGGACAATATGGTACACTGCACGTCTCATCGTGTAATGTGAAACTACGCCACACCAAAACAAAATAACACATAGCCCTACAAGAGCTCACTTCCTTGTTTTCTTTTTTTTTATACGCACAGTAAGATAAAAGCCCATTCCAATCCACACAGCATCAACAGCTCGTCTGCATTTGTGCGTCCTGTTGCCGTTTGAGAGCAAGGAAACACCCGAGCGCGTGACATCATACGCCCACAAGCCTCAGAAAAATTATAAAACACGACTTACCACGAAGAGCTGGACACATGGCGATGTACAGCACGCGTTAACGAAAGCCAAACTGAACCCGGTAGCGCTCCACACCAAAAGACTAACTATATGCCCATCTGGACGCTTTACTAATACACAATGAGAATTATATTTTGGCTTGTCAAGTCCCAAGCCATAAAACAAACTTTAATGGTGTCACGTGTTTCCGCGCAGCCATTCACATGAGCGCTAAGGTCCATAAATAATCCTGAAAGTTGCACTTACTCAATGAGACGATTACGCTGATGCGCACTAAGAAAGGGGCTTTTCCAGGGGTTTCAGAATGATGAAAAATGAAGACTGGAGAATGCGATTAACAATTGAACCTTTTACAATGCAAAAAGTCCTCCTATAGCCTTCTTTAACAGGAGTATAATCAATGCGTGGATGGTATCAAAATTAATTATTTTTAACAAATAATTCCGGTTGAACCGTGTGGATAATGCAAGCAAGTCATTTTTAAGATCACATAATACAACAATACAATCGTCGTCCGTATTGATATGTTGCCTACAATAAGGCTATTAGGCCTAATGTATTTAGTTATTATGTATCTATATATTTGTTTCTTTCCTATTTATGTTGACACCACAACCGTTGACACATCATGGCCAATCACAGCCCCTTCTGCCCTGTAGCTCCTCCTACTGACAATTCGTTGTGAGCACTTTACGAAATACAGGCCGACATTTTATACAGTAATAACCAAAACTATCTAAGACAATTTTGTTCTATGCCACTGTTAGCTCAATTTAATGTATTTGACATCACGCAGTTGCGCTATCTTGATTCCAGACCTAAACCAATCACACGGCCCCATAGATGCTCACTTGGCTCAGGCCCAGATGTCCCATCTGCAACACACGCTCCGCCTGCTGCAGAGAGTTCTTGTCTTGGACAACAGCGCCGTCTGCTGGAATCTTACCGCATATCAACTCTCAGATGGATTATGCAACTAAATATAAATGTAATGAGGTTTAACATATGAGGGAAACCTTTCTCTTTGATTGTTAATTATAACACATTCTGCAAAAATAGACCTGGCTGAAAGCTGCATCACCTGCGGTGAAATTGGGTTTGATTTGTGCAAAACTGCAAAGAATTGGTGCACTGAGGTGGTTTAACTGGTCGGGTCACGTGTATCAAGGCCTATATACATATTTATTATTAATTCTCACATTATATTCTGGAAGTTTCTACAATGAAAATTCAAAGTGAACTGTGCCAGAGCTCAGGCCTGCCTGCACTGCGCCTTTTTCCTGGGGTCCATTTTGCCGCATTGCAGTAGGCTGTAAATACTTTCGCAGCTGCCTGTCAAGCAACAGTGAAATACCGTCTTTGTTCAGTTGACCTAATCTCTAAACGCCCAAGAACCCCGATGTAACCGTTATTTTTTTCTCTCTGAATATAAGGAAAGATTCGTGGATTGGGAATTATCTTTGGTTAATTCAATTTTATTTATATCAACGTCCTTTAGACGCACATTTTCATTTTGTTCCGTCTACAGAAAGGACATGAATATTATTTTCCTCAGTATTATCTTGAATGTTAGATAATGATAACAAACCATACATTAGTCAAAATCCTTGTTAACTCAAACATATGCATAGACTTTAGTAAGCCTATTTTAAATTAAAACAAATCAACCAATGAACGTCACCCTTTAAAACGCTTTGGTTGTTGCAACGTCCATTTCTCCCCAATTTACCTTTTTTCTTTACTTATGAACATGTTGACAACCCTGCTCACCTATAAGCCAAATATACAAGGAGCATACAACGCTTAGCCTTACGCGATTAACATGACTAATGAAACATGAAGCTGTCACAGTCCACACGCTCATACAGGCGTAAATGAGCTGCTATCTCACAAAATACTCACAATTATCCAACGAGTAATCCATGTTTGTTCTTTGATCTTTGATGTTGAGGCTTCGAAGAGGCGCCACTGCAGCAGATGAAATATAGAAAAATGTCTCGTCGCGCTCCAACACGTCCTGTGCACAGCACAAAGTCAACTCTTGATAAGGAAAACTTTTACATCCATTGCGCTGGCATGTTGAGAGAAAGGCTGAACGCACGGAAAAGCTTTAAACGGCATAGACGCAGTATGCAGTGGGAAAATGGCCTGGGAAATCAGGAAAGAGCCATGAAGACGTTTGCTCTCACACATGACCAGTGGTACCCAATGACAGGCGATGGAGGCCCATAAAAAGCGCTATAACCCAGTTGTAAATTTTCCTTGCACAAAAAGGAATTTAGACTGCAGCTATTCCCCTTTACAAACGCAGAGGAGCACGAACCCCTCCATGTCCGCTGCGAAAGAACAACTCTATATCTTTATTGCGCAGTCGCATCAAATGCATCAGATCAGACAGATGTTTGGCTCAGGGAAAGCGGCATAGTTCATTAACTAAAATCCAGTTTAAAATGTATTTTAAAACAAGATATAAACGTAGATTTAGGGCCTTAAGCAACTTTGCTTTTGTATTGATACGGCCATTGTACATCTTTGGAGCATTGGAGTCAGAGCTGCCTTTGCACACTTACAAAAACATGTTTGATCATTCAACACACGACTACAGGGATTATAGGGTTATGCATGGTCAGACAAAGCGCAGGCCCTTAAGCCTGAAGGAAATAGAACAATGAAACAATAACACCTGGTGTCCATTTTAACATCAGCTTTAGTTCCACCAGATATTTTCCTGTTTTATGTCTAAATCTAATATTCTTTCAAATTAGGACTTTACGGCAAGCTTTGACTTACCAAGTAAAACTTTATATTGTTGTATCTTTATTTAAACAGGGAGGTTTCAATTATTGTGCCAGACTCTTTTTCATGGTAAGTAAGTAAGTACTTTATTTATGTAGTTCATTTTTTCAGACCAAGGTCATCTAAAGCGCTTTGTGAGCCTGTTTTAACACAACAACAATACAAACAAACACGTCTACAATAATAATAAAACCGTTAAAAGTATAATTTACACAAATTATTAAAATGTGAAGGAGGCACAGAGTGTCCACTTTGGAATTAAGAAATTTAATTTTTGACATTCAAAATAATGAAAAGCCTTCTTTTCATGGAACAGTTTGAAACGCAAATGGCCGAACACTAAATACACAATTCAACTCTTCTAAAATGAGTCTTTCCGGATATATAGCGCATTAAGACACTATTCAAATCAAAGTATGTGGTTATTTTTGTGTGAAAAAGTCAATGGAATAACAGTAATAGCTCCTGGCTATATAGCATTTTGTTTTGAGTAAAAATACACATAATAGAAAAATGTTTGTTATAGATCCAATTTGCAGTCGAGAGCAGCGGCTGAAGTGTATGGGGACCTGCAGTCCGGAAGACATTGTGACATGAAAATTATAATAATATTGAATAGCAAACATAATTCGATATTGGCCTATTGTCTTTTACTGCTGTGTTTTCGTGAACCCCGTCCAGCATCAGGGCAAAAAAAGAATACAATAACGTTTGAAAGATGGAGGCCTATTCTGCTCACGCACAATACATCAAGTTTTTTTTCTTTCGAAGTAGCTATGCCTTTATAGGCGTAATTTGGGCAGAGGATTATGTTATATTATATGTTAGATTACGCTTCAAATTATGTCGTTGATTATGTCATTGATGTATATATATATATATATATATATATATATATATATATACATATAAAGAAACGACATACCAAATGCACCGTCTGCAATATGCTGTACATGCTGCAGGCTACGGTACCATTTGTTCTAATGTGAGATGTTTTTTTCTTACTTCAAAGACACGAAATGAGGCATATCGTCGACTTCAACGCCTTTTGGCTCTCTGTAACTGTGGAACCTTCTATGCTTCTCTGCTCACATGAAGCAGCCGAAGGCTGTCATAGGTTCATGTCTTCAGCCTTGACAGTCACCTCACAGTCAGCAGCGATGCTGAGTGTGTGCGGAACAGTCACGGCCCAGATCAAAAAGTGAGGTCACTGCGTCAACAATCCATCAACACACTGTTTGTGCTGTACAAAGGGACGCTGCATATAGCGCCAATGATGTACCGAATTGAGATCTCATGGTAACCAGATTTGCCTTGACAGGCGATGTGTCCTCCATGCAACCTGCAATCAGCTCAAAGACAAAGCCTCTATAGCCTTACTGCTTTTCCACACATTTTGGGGGCTCCTCATCTCTGACATGCAGGCACATATCAGAATTGCGAAGTTCTATGGCTTGTTCTTCATATATATTTAATAGAATCACATTTGGCACTAACCCTGAAGACATAAGCCTGCATGTGTGGGTGAACTGAAGATGGGACATGACAGACCAATGTCGCCCTCTAGCGCACACGTTTTGTGCCTTGACCAACTGGCCTCGGGGCATTCTCAAGTTTATTTACACGAGTTACTAAATCTTTAAGCTTCATGATGGTTTGATATTTTTGGTAAAATATTTCATATTTCATAAGTTATTTGGTTATTTTATACCATGACCATTATACAGAAGAACCAAACAACTGAATCAACTAAGAGAAGATGAACCTTTATAAACTAAAACATTACAAGAGTTCTCGGCTCTTGCCCTTTCTTTGCGTAAACCTCCTCATTGCGCCGTGGAGTCCTTCACTCGTGCTAAGGTCTGCACGTTTTCCCCTCTCAATGGGATGTGAAGTTGGACAATAAACGTGACCATTTTGTTTGAGGGCAAGTTGAATACACGCCAGACACCACTGTCGAAAGGTATCCACATTCTGTTTCTCAGGTCGAAAAAGACACTTTGAAAGCAGAGCGTAATTGCATAGGCTCATAAAGTCATTAAGTCCAGACGTCTAGCCGTTTCTATAGCTTTATTGGACTAAGGTTTCTTCCTGTTTTAAAGTCATTCTTCCAACTTTAGACTATAGATTGGAAATGCCCAATTCTCCCAACCATAAATCACCTTTATGTTTTATATAACATGATGTGCGACTCAGAAACCTTGCCCATTAATATGTTATTTGTAAACACATGAAGTTATTAATTAGGCATTAGGCAAAATGTCCTGCATTGTGAGTGAATTCGTGCGTAATAAACGTCAAGAAGATCTTGTAAAAATGAAATTGTTTTATGTACACCCAAATTAATTTACAACTCAGTCTGGTTACAATAATAAGTCCTAATTGTTTTGTAAAACATAGGCGGTTACTGTGTGATGTTTATTAAATAATGCAGGCTGTCCAAAGTCGCCACAATACAACTCAAAAAATGTCTGTTCTACTCTTCTCTCTGTTCATCTTCTTCATTTTCATCCTTCTGTTCTGGAACCAGATTTTCACCTGTCTCTCTGTTAAACTTAGAATGCGGGCCACTTCATATCTGCGGTCTCTGGTCAAGTACATGTTGTAGAGAAACTCCTTTTCCAGCTCCAAAGTTTGATACTTTGTGTAAGGGCAGCGCTTCTTTCTTGTGGAGCGAGCGTGGATCCAATTTGCTGCTGGATTTCCTGCATAAAAGTCAACATACAAAATAAACGTTTTCGTTAGCTGGTTGCTAAACTTCTTGAAATCATTATAAGTGTCGTATGGGCAAGTTTAACTGTGTGTAGGAATACTGTTCAAAAGATCAATGTTGAAATCATATTTGAGGCACAATTTAAAATGGGCTCGTTTCAGCAAGTTATGTCCCAGGAAAACGGTAATGTTTAAGCTGTGTTTCTAATGTGCTTCTTCCTTTGGCATAAAAAACTTTCTGGTCCCATGCAATAACCCGTGCAGGGCGGGTTTCCCCACGATACGCTGCGGTATAGTACAAGACACTTTTATAGGTAGTAAAAGCTCTAGTTTTACTCACCCAGCCCTTACACTCCTCACAGCTGTAAATCAGCGTTATTCCGTTTACTTACTTGGGTCAAGTTGTTGTTGTTTCTCGTCTTTGGGATCGCTGCTGGGGCTCGATAGCTCGCTTGCACTCCGCTCTTTGCTTGTGTTTTCTGGACACTCCGGCGCTGCGCACGGAGTGAACTCAGAGCTGTCCTGGTCCGGAGCGTCTCTTTCAGTGGCTTTCGGAGGAACGGGCTCCTGTTTAGTCCCAAAGCGACGGCTACTCGAATTGAATCCAGCGAAGGGGACGTGATTAGACACGGGCTCCAGCCAGGAGCGGACGCCGACATATCTGGCGTCTGGCGCAGGAAGGTGCGGCTGGGGGTGATGCACATACGGATGGTAGAGCCCCTGTGTGTGGACAGAGGACCAGGACGACGGAAACACACCGGGCTTTTGTGCAAAATTGCAAGAAGAGAATCCTTCTGAGTCCCCGGCGGCACCTGGTGGCCTCGGGGTCACCGTGTGAGGAGCGGGGAGAAAGCGCACTCCTCCGTACACGTCCTCCGGCTCGTGCACCATCACAGAGTCCACATAGCAGTTACTCAGAGCACCAGTGGACGACATTTTGATGTGTTCCCAGTCATATAATAAGCTTCACTCTGTACGGGAAGCCTCTCTCTGAACAATCAGTATTTTTGCTGGCCTGCATCTACGGGGATTGGTTGCATATGTCACGTGGTCATATTTACCAATACAGCAAGTAAATCAATCCTACTCTTGCTCTCTCTCCCTTTGCGTTACAAATTCTCCTTGTTTTACAAACAGTCAAATTGAAATACACAGAGTTCATTTTTGCTAGAAAACAATTGTCAGAAGAACTCGAATGTGATTCATAACGGTTTCACTCACTTGCATATGAAAGTTAGCAGCATGTTAGCAGGTCTTCATGTTGGGGAAGATTCAGAATAGTGTCTCGGTGCAGTGAATGCTAGTAAAATGCTTTATAGACTTACTAGATCCTCGTAAAATAAATGTAATAACATGCTGTAAAATAACAGAAGCCATTTCCGTCCTTATGGACAAACATGTCCATAACGCGGTTAGCGTTGGTTGTTTTGCATGATGTTTTGCATTCAATACCATTTTCTGGGTTGGTGTATTTAAAAAAAAAGAAATTTGAAAAAGAATGTAGTAAAACGGGTTGCATTTTTTTCAGTAGTAATGGCTGTGTGCATCAATAAATGTTTTATGAGGTGCGTGTGATCACGCCGCCAATAAAAGGAGAAGCAAAGTCCCTCTGTTTTCCCTGATAGTATTTTTGGGGTTGTGCTCTTATAGATAATCTATGTTTGATACAATATTTTCAACTTAATGTTTGACTTTAATACATTATTGAGATATTTTTCGAAAGCTTATACGCGAACGTTTCTAAGCTGCGTATAAGCCAGATCACAACATTATTAGTCTGGCCGATGTGTGCACGAGGATAGAAGACGACTCACGACTTTGCGTTTATGAAGAGAATAGAAAATATGAATGTTTTGTCGGGTTATTTCTATATCTTCTTTCTGTGTGTGCCACTGTGTATACACGGGCCTACACACACAATGCACGCGCTCTGACCAAAAGAAATGTGCGCAAAAGGTTTTTCAATTGAGACACATTTGTATACAAATATCAAAAACTGAAAACTGTTTGTGACTAAACAAGGCATTGGGAAGATGAGCCAAAATACAGCACATTCTATTTATTGCAAGCATTGTCACAAACATGCAATAAATTCAGATGAACATTGTTTCAACGCTTATAGTCTTTTCATATTTTCTTCACATAGAAAATGACTTATGCGCCAACCAAAATACACAATTGTAAATAATATTGATAATTATATAAAACAAAATATAACAATAATACAGCACAGTCCACTGGCCAAGAAACAAAAGTCGTTCAATAATTTAACAGTTATTGTCATCCTGTGAAAAATAAACATACGACGAAACTTTACTCAAGGTAAATAGACTTACAATAACATTTAGAATCACAGTTTGGGTGAGAAAGGAAATGTCTGATTGCACAAAGACACATGGCGCTCTCACGAAAAGGTGAGGTTTGAGGTCAGCTCTCGAATACGGTTTTCCCTGTTCATTTTCTTGAGTTTCATCCTGCGGTTTTGGAACCAGATCTTGACCTGTCTGTCGCTCAAGTTGACGTGCGGGCTGATCTTAGGCGGCGCTCGGAGGTTCAGAAGACAATGTGTATTGAAACAATGGGATTTACTTAACTTCCAGGGTTGATGCTTGGTGTATGGACATCTTTTCTTTCTGCCACTCTTCGCCGTCAGCCAGCTGCTTGTCGGTGCGTCAGTCTTGCATTCTGAAAGATTAAATTCACACAAAACCGATCAGCGATGACTTGATGCAACCTGCTGCTGAAAAACAGTCTCATGGGAAATAACATTTTTAATAACGCAGAAATATACCAAGCAACCACGGGATCGTGCTGAGAAATTAAATTAACATAGCTATAATGATCAAATAATATAAAGTTTGTTTGAATCATTTTGTCTTTGTCTTTCACTGATTCTCCAAAGTCAGCGGTACAAGGTTTTTTGTATTAAATTGTCACAGACAAATGGCAGGCTGGTTGCACGCTGCGCAGTAAAACCATTCTGTACTGCCTATTACCGCAACCCGAGAAAGACTCTCATTAAACATTACGACTTTGGGGTTGTTTGTGTTTTATACTTGGTTTTATGATGCCGGTGCCACGAGATAAAAGCTTTCACTGTAGCCAACCCACCTTTTGCCTCCTTGTGAGCCAGTTCTGGGCTGGACACTGGTGCGTCCATGGAGTGTGCTTTCTCGAAGCCAGCTTGGGGCTCCGGGCTCTTGCGGGCATGGAGGTCCTTGAAGATTTTGTTTTGCAATGTGTCTTCGATTTTTTTTCTGCTTCTGTTGAAGTTGGTGTTGACAATAAAGAGGAGGAGAGGAGGGTGCGATTTGGGGTGACCCCTGGTAAACATGAATCATGTTGGGTTTTGGACTTGGGCGTCATGGCAGGTGTTATCATGATGTTTTCGTTGACGCAAGTTTTTTTGGGCTCAAATCTGAAACACTACAGGCACGGTATCTTGAGTTGGAACGTCTTTATGGAGAAGACTCTGGGTAGGCGCTGTCGGACTCTGCGCTTCTTTGCAGAGCTGTTTTTTGGACACGCTTTTGTCTGAGTAACATGCAGCAGTTATTTCCTCTTTAATGCTCTGGAGAAGGACAGTTTGATTTTGGCTGGGTGGCTCGGCCGACACGTCGTTAGGATCAGCCCAGTTTTCTATCTGAGGAACGTACGAATGCACATTCATGCCGACGTTTTGATGACCAACCTCCACTCTCTTGCCAAAAGACGGCAGGAGTCCACAGGTTTGCATTCCGTAAGTTCCCATCTCTGAAGCAGCTGGCATGTACATGTTGCTGCTGGGGTAGAAACTGTCCGTCCTGCATGCACCAATAATAGAGTCCACCAGAAATGTATGGGCGCAGGAGAACCCGCTGGGGATGGACATTTTAGGGTAGCGGTCCTTTAGTGGAGAGAGAGTGTCCTTGGAAGCTGAATATTCGGGGAAAAAACATAATCTACGAGTAAGTCGGATGCGCCGACCAATTGACAAGCCCACCAATGAGATTGAAAATATGGCCTTGAGACGCAGCTCCTCTTCTTTGTACAAGGCACGCATAGGCGCGTGCCCTAGACTTTGGTGCAACCGAGGTCAACAGCGACTCCTACAATTCAGACATGAAATTGACACGAGCTGCACAAAGGCAGAGAGGAGTTGCTACAAAACACACGCACACGTACACGCACGCATACACGCACACATAGGTGTGTATATAGGGCACAATCCCAATGAACTGATTTTAATTTCGTCCATTAAACACAGCTCCTCCCTCGTCTCTCCTCTCTCATCCGCCACGCTGTGTAAATTTTCGGTTTTAAGGTATTGAAATGGATCTATTCTGCTTGCACACGCTGATCCAAAACCGTATCTGGCCCAGCTATGTAATATGTGTTTCCTTGAACTTGGTTTTTTTGTATTATAGTTTTTTTAATAATTTTAAATTTTGTTCCAAGAACGACAAAATCTTGTTAATTTAGGATTAGAAACACCCCGTGTGTTAGAAGCTGGATATTGTAAAGTGGTTTGTATTCAATCTCTACCACTATTCAATGTTTTGTACCGAATCAGTTAGATAACAGCAGTCATCAATGTTCTCCTTCTTTCGGCTATAATTTTGTATTATTTTACATGCCAACAATGCTGTGTATAGTTGTGGGCCTTGTGTGTATGTATGTAGGTGTGTTGTGTGATGTGTGAGTGTATTGTGTGTGTGCGTGTGTGTTATTTAGTATCTCATGGCACTACTAAAATTAAACGTGTGTGTGAACATTGTACTAAAAATAAATGGATGCATTTTTTAAACCACCCGGTTGCCATCGCATTTCTTGCCGTTATCTATTTTGAACAGGCCTACAGCCTGTACGGAGGTCGTAGCTAGTGGACATGAAGGTCTTTTTCTTTCTTTTCTTCCCTTGTGTCCTTTTTTGTTTTGTTTGCTTATTTTTTTAAACTACAACTTTTTCCTCTCCTGGAGGAAAATCGTCTCACTGTTTTAGTCCAATTTGCCCATGCATTCCTCGTCTGTGAAAGAGGGCGGTGGTTCGTCGCACGTTCACGGCTTTAATTTTGTCGGGGATGTTTTTTGTTTTGTGCGCAAAAAGAACTCCATGACAAGACAGCTTGTTGAGGGTGATACAATAATGTGGATTTTAAAACAAAAAGCACACGAAGACCGCCTTTTTTATATCTTTGCAGTAGAAGTTTTAGTTGTAAAATAAAGGTATAATTTAAAGGGGAAAAAGGGCGAAAATTACTCTCTCTAGTCGATGCAGCTCCCCACAAGTTATTATTAAGAATGATTATAAAATCACCCTATTATATTATTATTGAATTTAATATTACTAAAACGTTTTTTTTAATTATTAGTGATTATTAGTGATACATAGCTTCAAGTGGTTTAAGATGTTATTAATTTATTTCCATATTATTGATAACTTGAATGACACAGTGTGTGTCTATATATATTATTAGTATATATATATTATTTATTATATGTATATCTTTTACACCTACACTGTTACACAATTTCCCCCACTTTGTCATGTCACATGTATCAATTATAATGGAAAATAAATAAATAATGCTTACAACCACTTGAAGCATTGGAGAATTCAGACATGGTTAAACCAATGATTTGGTTCTTGGGTTAATTTACTTGTGGACTAAATCTGAGGTTAAATTTTGTCTTGTTTATGCTACGATTGCAATTATCTTTAACTGACTTGTAAAATGGTAGACTATTAGTGGAGACGGTATATGGCCCATACACGTTCCTGCAGCTTGCTTCGAGCCAATGGAACTGCAAGCCCGCCCCCTTGTGGTTAGAACAAGTATTAAACACGAAAGACAACATCCCGTTCAACGTTTACATTTCTCATTACCATTTGGGAACTATGGTAAATTACATTCAACTCCACATGTAATTGTTCATGATTTTTACACAATTGACTTAAACCTGAACCAAAGTTATTTGCATCTGGACAATATTTTAGCTTAGCATTGCATTGCTTTTTGGACAGCCATTGACAAACTACTGCGACGTATACAACCAAGGAAAATAATAATGATAGTATATCTATAACTAAATATTAGCTCCCAATATTAATTCAAAAGCCATTATGTCACCATTACGACCCTGGAGAAAATTAATATCATAAATAGATAAATTAAAGGGATTTATTTTATTTTGTGTTTTTTGCTTAGCCAAATGAATTAAATTACGCTAACCGAATTGGCTGGATTATTTTGCATATAGGCTAAGTGAATCCTTTCCAGAATATTTTGATGACTTCTTTATAAACACTTTTTATGAACGTGAGCTATACTCCGTCTGCTGTATATGTTATGTTTTAGAATTACGTTAAATAAGGTTTTAGAGATGAACAATATAACAATATAAATATATAAGATATGTTGTTTAATGAACGAGAGAAAGTCCTAATATGTTGCATAAAACATAAAGCTGAAACTCATGGATAAGTATAAGCTCAAAAGTATAGGAGTTACTATTGGACAGGAAGGAGAACCAGTCCTCTCATGGTTTGGGGGCTGGGATCCCAAAGTCCAATAGCCCCCTATTTAGACATTTACAGCTACTTTTATTATACTGTCTAGACGGTTCAAGGTTTCGTAAACAATCCTGTGTTTGAAAGCAAAGGAAATAACGGGACTGGCCTACAGCGCCATTGATGAAAATCCCCACTTTTAGGCTAAAGACTCTTTGTCATGCATGTGACACACACTGCAACTAGAAACCGGCATTTGTCGTGTCTACTTTATTTCACTCCACAACATATTACATGCACTTTAATGTATATACAATAAGGGTATATTTTCATAAATAATCTCAAAGCACATATGCCTATATGACGAAATATATTGAGTAACGCATAAATATAAGAGACAAACTAATAAATAAATGCTGGCTTGAGAAAAGTACCTTTGTTACGGCATGAGAAGGGAGCAGGTTTAAGAGATGCGCTCGTGAGTTTGCGGTATGTGTGGGAAATAATGGACAATATCAGAATAAAGGATTTCCCGTAAAGTACTGCAGGCGGTCGCGATTAAGCTTTTTCTCCTTCATTCTCCGATTCTGAAACCAAATCTTCACCTGACGATCAGTCAGGTTTAACATCCGGGACAGCTGCAAGCGCTTCTCTTTGTTTATGTACACATTGAAGAAAAACTCTCGTTCAAGTTCTCGGATTTGGTATTTGGAGTATGGACACCTCTTCTTCCTGGACTTGGTGGATGGACCTGCAATACAAAAGACTTTGTTTTCATGACCGTAGTCAGAATTGTTCATTTACAAATTGATAGGATGATGCATATTCAACATGCTGCATATAGACTTTTTTGGCCATATTATTATTTCTTAAATTATACTGTTGTATTGTACTGTATGATCGTCACAAATTAATAGGATGATAGTTCAACATGCTGCAGGAAACAATTTTGGCCATAGGTTATTGTTTCTTAAATTATACTCTGGGTGAGATTGTTATAGGACGCTATGGTTTGTCTAAATCCCATGGTATTAAAAAATAAGCTTTATTGCCCATGTTGTGTCATTATATAATATTCAGACAAATGTTACATTCACATTGTAAATGGGGTAATTATGCTTGGCCTACTGTGTCTGTGGATGTTTTGGATCAGATGGCAAATCGATATTCAATAATCGTACAATGTACCTGTAGTCCATTGACATTTACGCATTGAAAATTAAGATAAACCTTTATTAGTCTCACAGTGGAGAAATTTCAGAAATTATTAAATTAAGGTCATCATTGCATAATGTGAAAAGACTTATGTAACAGTTATTAGCAAAATATCACTGTGTAAAATTATGCTATGTATTTTATGTATAGTTATTGTGTTCCTTTTACACTCCCTAATGGTTCTTGCTCACTTTCCCATTGTAAATACCTTTACAGCCGTAAAGTTACTCTTATTGGTATATAAAATCTTTTGCATGCTTATAAAGCGCCACATAACCCTGGACGCGCGCACAGAGCCTGTTAAGCAGCCTGTAATGCAGACACTGTGCCTCTGGAGCGGCGGTGGACTCACCCTGCTGGTTCTTGTCGTCGCAGTTGGAGGACGAGTCTTCGTCCACGCTCCCGCTCGTCTCTGCCTTATCAGGCTGCTCATGTTTGCCCACAGCATGCTCGTTTCCCGGCTCCCCTGGTGAATCTGTGCCCTTTTGTCTAGACAACTCTGCAGCTGCTTTCTCCGAGTTAGCAGCCTCAAAAAACTGATCGAAACCTTGTGGGAGAACCCCATTTCTACCAACCCCGGTGAGGAAATTAGCACACGAAGCGCTCGTCCCGCCGTGGTGAGCGTACAGCGTCTCGTTCTTGAATCTCACGTCTGCCCTGCTGCTGGAGGACTGGATCAGGTCCCGGTGCATTATGTCGTCCGTTGAATAGTAAGATGCGTAATTGCCCCTGTAGTGCCATTTGCTCGGGTGCTCGAGTCCATAGTCAGTCCTGAAAGCCACTTCCCGAACAGGTTGGACTTGGGCTAGGTTGGGGGAATAGGGGAAATTAAGCTGACACGAAGTGGTCTGTGGTAAAAAGGACGAGACCGAAGTGAAATCAGGCGTCGAAACATAATAAGTACAGCTCGGTAAATACATATTTGACGCGCAGTTCCGATCATCGTATTCCGTCATATCGCGTCCTTTTCCTCCTGTGGAATTGGCAGCTCGACTGTGCTAAACTTTGTCCATCTATAGCAGCACCGACGCGCGCACAAACCTCGACAGGGAGAAAAAATCGGAAACGTAGGCAGACCTGCAATACATCTGATCGATTCTTGAGGTAATTGTGTCATGTGATCCAAGTGAGAAATTACCATACATCAATATCAGTCATTAAAAACTGTCCAGAGAAACTCATGTGAGCGGGACACGCGCCTTCATTGGCTCTCCGCTGCAATGGGAACTCCTCTCTCGCCTTCCCTGCCCTATAGCTCACGGAAAGACTTTGGTGGAAGCACCGCTGGAATATTTCAATGAAAGCTTTACAGCGGCATCATCTCCATCTTGTAATGACATGTAATGACAGCCGTGCACGCTCAGTGCACTCTAAATTTACCACTTTGGAGGAGCTTCCATGCTTATAGCAACAGCATAACGTCCATCTGATCCTCATATGCTCATGCAAACAGGAAATAAACAGCCAGAGCACGTATGCAGCGACTGAACGCCTTTTTGTATGATTTTTGTGTTAACAAGTATTGGCATGTCTAAATAAAAGGTTCAAAACAAATGTTATTTGCAAAAGCATTGACCTTGAGAAATTGAGAAAACGTTGTACTGAAAACAACGCAATAATAAAAACGATGCAAATGATATATAATAATAATAATACAACCACACTTGTGGAATGAGACCCGTTGCATGAGCCTATCTGCTGTAGTCATGATTATATGTGATTTAAGTTATTATATTATACTATTATTCAGTACATTTTTAATGTACTGAACACAATAATTGTTGTTAAACACAACAATTAATGTTGTGTTTAACAACATTAATTTGTTAATGTCGTTAAACACATTAACAAATTAATGTGTTTAAAACAAAACCACAGATTAAAAGGTCCTTATTTAGAACTTCCGTCAGACCGTGGAGTTGGGTCCACACGTGGCTTTGACCGTCTCCATTATAAGTCTGAAAAGCACTACCAATGAGCCTCAAGCCAATCATTTATTGCACCATTGCGATGTGGGTGAGGTGTGTGTTCAGCCTTCTGCTCGGTGCCAACGCGGACCATCGCATTGTCTTATGTGAGTATGCGTGGGTTTTTTTGTTTTGTTTTTTAATACCGAAAGGAAAACCTTCCACTGGTGTTATGGGCAGTGTGTGGTAACAACGCGAGGCCGTAGAGCTTTCTGGCATTCTTCTCTATTTAAGCGTTTAGGTCAACACCTACAAAGGCCTGTCTGAGAGAATTCATTTTAGAGGACTGTTCAAGAACGATAGAATAATACTCTAAATGCGTAAAAGTATTTTATTTTGTCCGTTTTGGACATTTAATAATAAGATAACAATGATGTAATGATGAATAATTCAAATGATGTGGCTTACACTTAGGTTTGTGGTGCCGAATTTAAAGAGGATTAGGCAGGCTCCTGTTCGGCCACAACTTAATATTGCCCATGGTAAAATAAGTATATATAACGTCCTTAAATTACCGCTATCTGAAGTAGTTTCATAATGCACAAGAGTAGGCTAACATTTAATATAAGCCTCAATATGCAGCCTCCTAACTTGACCTTAACTTTGTTTTGGTGGCCCTCTAAGTTGCAGTGGCTGCGTATATGGTGCTGTCTGGCAGTAAAGCAATAAAACAACAAATACTAAGGAAACCGTCGCCTATAGAAAGCTGCGCGTAACTGTTCAAAGTAGAGCATGCAATAAAAGTGGTGCAGTCAGGAATGTGAGCCAAAGCAGACTGCCTCATGAAATGGATTAGATATAAAACATCCGCACACCTAGATATTTGGGATACAAATGGACCATTTATAAATCTCTCCACAAAAAACACAAAACAAGGTGATGTGCTTCAACGTGTGACGTGCATAATTATGTCTTTCTGAAATATTTGTATTTAAATATATTCGTTGTCATTCCAATAGTCAAAAATTCCATAATAAAGTATACTTCTGGCGAAATAACACTTGCATCTGCTCCTGGAGTCTACCACAACACATATTGCCTCACAATATAGTGCAGTGATATCATTACTCACCATGAGTAATGTTATAAGCTTGATATACAGTAAATATTCAGATGTACATGACAAATAACTGAAATCAGTGTAGACATTACCGCTCTAATGCACATGCATATAGCTTTTATTTGCGCATTGCATTTAGGCCTATCCGTGTATCAGTTGTTAAAACAATCAAAATATCTTTACCAACCAAATCAGCATGTTTCACCCATAGACTCAATAACTGCTTATGTGTCACTTGCGTTTAATTGTTGTTATGGAACATCTTGCTGTTGGCTATGCAATTACATACATATTTCAAATATATATATATAGCATTTTGGGGCCACATGCTATATATATATATATATATATATATATATATATATATATCCAAGCTCCCAGGCCTCTGGTATACAGAGGACCCGAGCTTAGAGAGGGATAACCGCCCGCGGAGGGCCAAAGGTGAGTGGACAATTTTTTTTTAAATATATATATATATATATATATATATATATATATTTGGCTTTAGACAGACGCACACATAAACATACACACCCACACAAACAAACAGTGCTCGTGTGTGTGTGTGTGTGTGTGTGTGTGTGTGTGTGTGTGTGTGTGTGTGTGTGTGTGTGTGTGTGTGTGTGTGTGTGTGTGTGTGTGTGTGTGTGTGTGTGTGTGTGTGTGAGTGTGAGAGAGAGAGAGAGAATGTGTGAGTGCGCGTGTGTGTGAAAATTAAAAGTGACAATGATAATAATGATAATCCACCTATATTTCACAACATTATAAATAAGGTTTTACGAAAACAACCAAGGTAGGCATGCGATCTCCTTCGGGGGAAAAAAAATACATTCATTATGTTCAACACCAATTAAAATCGATATCAACATTTACATTGTTTCATAAACTGACGAGATGTCTACAAGGTAATACGTTGAAAATGACAAAAACACAACCATAGCTGCATTTAACAAAATACGCATTTTACTGAATAATAATCACCATGCATTTCCTTGAGTTTCAGATAGGCGTGATCTTGACACCAGCCATATAAGATAAAACATCGTTTTTATGGTGCGCTTTGTTGAAAAGTATTCTAACACTGTTCTTTTGCTGTAGCTGTTTTAATATGAATCGAGGGCAGCAAGTGCCTTTCTCCAAAATAGGAATAATAACAGCCCTTTGTCCTGTTGCGCATGATGACCAAAAGTGATGAGACTGAGTATAACAGGGAGGATATGAGTTCGTATGGACAGTCTCTTTTTGACGAGTTGCTGGTCAGGATCAAGTCCACCAGCCGTGCGTCAATACGCGCAGAAGGCCTGCTCTCGCATCATCAGTCGCTTCTTTTTCATCCTGCGGTTCTGGAACCATATCTTCACCTGTTGGTCACTGAGGTCTAGTCTGTCTGATAACTCCTTCCGCTTCTGTCTGTTAATAAACTCGTTCATCATGAACTCGTTCTCCAACTCCGCCAGCTGTGGCTTGGAATACGGCTTTCTCTTTTTTCTGGTTTTGGCTTGAGACGAGCACCAAGGGGCACCTGGAGAAACAGGGGAGAGTTCAGATTAGTAGTGTCGAATATAAACAGCAGCCTCAACACCACATATGTAATATTCACACAATGGGTCATAACCAAGTTCACTGGCATGAGTCCCTGATACAAATGGGTCTCTTTAAAGTTCCAAACTATTTGCAATTCGCATGAAATGTTTTAAAACATTTAAATAATGTTGTGAACTTGTAATAGTACAGATTGAACACAATAATTTCATAATAATTCGCGAGGGAACACAAAAATCTGGTGATTCCACTGCAGGAACTGTAGGCTCATCTGGGTCTGCATTCACCAAGTTGTTGTGTGAATTCATAAAAGTGGGTGTTAAGGTGCCATAAAGCCCTGTGTCTATAGAAAGTCAGTAGACAGGGGGAGGCTGACCTTCACTGAAGCTGCTCCTGGCACATGTGTCTCCACTGGAAGAATCGAGCCCCCCTCTTTGCTCAGGCCTGGGCTCGGACTCACTGGCCGGACCGCTCAGCTCAGCATATACCCGCTGCGCCTCGTAGCCTCCTTCAGCTCGGCCAGGCTGAGCGCGCTTGTGGTGCAGGTCTTGAAATCCCGGTGCCTTGGTTCTGTTGATCGACATAGAGTTTGGGAGAAACGGTGGACAGTAGCCCCCGAATGAGCGGCTCTGCGCGGGCGGAGGTGCCGCTGCCTCAGACGCACACGAACCTGAGGAAGTCCATGGGAACGGGCACATGTCCCTCCTGTTGTAAGAGACCTGATGAAGCCCGGGAATATGGGCTCCATTGCCCCGGAGGTTGGAGAAATAGAGCGAATCAGGCGCAGCCAAATTAAGCAGAGATCCAACGTAGCCCGGATTTAAAGGAGTCCGCTCACACATTTCCATTGAGCTTTGCGCTAACGTTTCTTGTGAGCCTTTTAGCAACTCCTCAAGAATAAAGCAAAGGTAATTGTTGATTTGTTAATGCGTGGTCACGTGATATGTAAACCATGTTGTTGGGCCCCACCCTTGTTCCCAATACTGTGCAGCTAAGTAGTCCATGAGGACATATTTGAGTGTTGTGTGGGAGGAGGATGTGGCTGAACCCCATCCATCTGTGTGGTATTATTAAACATTAATAACAGTGATAGGAATAAGTACAGCGGGAGGGAGGACTCTCAAGCAGATATAAGGAAAGTGACTTTGGCGAAAATAAAATGTATACACAGAACCACGACTCTTAATTTAGTGAAGCGTATTTCACATTTGCATGTTGGTTATTTAAAACTCAAATCTTCTTCACACTAAATGAAAACATGTGTCTTCTCTGCTCTATCTTGTGTGTGTAGATGATCATGTCCACGTTTTTATATGAACAGAATGTTACAACATGCACGCATGTGTGATTGCGCATGTATTGATGACATATTTTTGCGTATGCGTGCATTTTGATACATCTGAATGGCAACATATACAAAATCATAGTGTGTCAGTGTTGTGCTCTAAAACTGTTATATATTTTTTATTGCCACATTCAAAATCATTATTTCTGTCACATTAAACTGTCTTTGTTTTGAATGTATAAATGTGTTCATGAAAGTAACTTTTATAATAACAATAAAAAACATTTATTCTAGACTCAAGGTCCATATTTTAAAACATTTATAATTTTTATAAACATAGTGGTGTCGGTCTGAGTGTCTCTCACAAATACTGATACATGGTGTTGAAACCCAGTACAGTTTATTATTTTTTGACGTATATAGCTTGCACCTTGCAAATACTCCCGGCGTCTCGCTGACCATGCATGCATATGTTTTAGAACACATATTGGATTTAATACCAGTACAATTCGTTTAAAAAACCTCTGAGATAAATGGTCTTGGATTATTTCCTTTTTGGAACGCATTTCACAGCCCTGTTTGGGAATTAGTCTGCTCCCGGTGCATGCAGCGAATGTCTATTGTTTTTTGTTATTTAACAGTTTCTTAATGCTTTCAACAACAACTCCTGCATCTCCGAACACTTTAACGAGGAACACAGAATCCTGATAATGATGTGCAGTGGGGCCATAACGCGCGACTGACAATATTGCTGTTTTTACACTTCAGCAAAAGATGTGAAATGTTGAGCTCAATGAAACCAAAATCTGCTTCATTTGTTATTTAGCATTGATGGAATACAGGCGACATTGCGCACGGTGGGAACTGATGGACTCCACCTTTACATCAAAGGGGTGATGAGGGTATTGTTCGCAGACTTTGACATGCAACTAAACAATTTATTTTTTGTTTATAAATGTAGCATTATGTCATATAATAATCCCAAAACATGGAAATAAATGCTTAATTAGCATTCGTGTTGAATACGTATTCTAAACTAAAACTAGTTCAACTACATCATATATTAAATAACATAAATAACCATACTAGCTTTGATATTAGCCGATACCATCTGAATTAAAAGGCGCCTCAATGCACCAAGGTTTAGTGTCATTCACAGCTCACCGTCCTTCACTTTTACAGCACCAGGAGCCGTGGTCTGCGTGTTTTCACGCGGCCTTTGAAGGAAGCCTTCCGCCGTCTATTGTCCTTGGTAATAAACTTGTAGCTTCCCTCGTTCAAGTTCCTGGGGGCATCAGAAACGCAAAGACACAGCTCTGGTGGATGCAGATGCATGCGTGGATTACTCAGCAAAGCCGACGTGTGCTCCACACGTCGGCCGTCAAAATCATTCTTTTTTCTTGAGATATTATTTTTGATCCAGCATGCAGTAAGTTTTAATATTCCACAGAGCCATTTACAAAGACTAACCACTATTGGACTTACTCGTTTGTTTTGCCTATAATCTTTTAGAATTATATGGTAGACATGTTTGGAATAAAAACAAATTAACTTATAGGTTTACAATGTGTTCATTCTGTATGTCAAAATGACTATAATTATAGCCTATACGTAAATATAGATCTCCGCCCACGATCAGACTTAGAATAGCCTGTAGGGTCTTCCAAACCAATGTGTTCATGAAAATCTCGAGAGGTAATGTTGAAGATAATAGGTGTACTTTGTCGGTGAATGCATACGTAGTTGGAGTTGTAAATGCGTAAACGGAAAGCAGGCTTTGGCACAACATCACGAGCTGTGCGTAAAAGGCCTAACACGAGGCTTCTATCAATGGCTCATCTTTGCCTTTTATAAAATTGCGTGTTGCATCTGAAGTTGGAAAACGCTTCAGGTTAAATTAACTCAAAATTCACGATCAATATAAAGTCAAATCAATCCAAATAAAGCAGTGTGTAAGACACAGACATCAATCAGACGGACATGCTTTTCTGTCCAATGAAATTTTTCTTCAATACGAACGTTTATTTAATCATTTTGTTTTAAGTCATTGTTAATATCCAAATGATATTCTAAAATACATATCCACTGTTGATTACTAAGTCTATGAATAAACATCTCGATTCATATTAAACGTGAACATTTTGGGCCTAAATCATTGAAACAGTTTCCCGGATTCATTCATATTTTAGCGTATTGTATACTTGGACAATTTGCACTCGGGTTTACAGAATATATAGGCCTATTATTATTTTTATTTCGTCATGTCCAATATTTTCACAAGTCAAGAGTCACTACATCTTCCCTAGTGATGGGAACAACAGATTATAAAGTTATTTAATTTTACTTTTAACACCAAATTGTAACATTGTCCTCTGAATTTGACGCGTTCAACTAATGCCATATGGGAAACCAAGCAGTGGTCGCTATATTGTCATGATACTACATTTAAAAATCCACTTTGATGCTATATAGAATTACTCTTTACCAATTTTGATGCCACGGTACTGTAAATGTTTAACTGAAAATAATAATGCGTTTTATAGGACCACAAGTTCTTCTGATATAGTTTAAAATTTATCAACAAATGCTCAAGCCATGTGATATTTTTTCCTGTTTTTGTTATCATTTTTGTTTAAGCTCAAATTAGTATTAAGATTTCATACTATAGTTTTATACTCAACTAACTGGGTTAGTTGTCACAAACATCAATTTAACAGACAGAAAACATGGTTCAAAAAGTGGTGTCATGAGTGTCTATACCCACTAAGCCATCGTCCTGTCATTCAGAAATGCAACAGTTGCAATCAAAGTAATGCATGTTTAGTTTATTAATAGCCTTAGCTCAAAAGGCAAAATAAAGATTAGTATTTTTTTTTTTTTACTTTTTTGTTAAGGTCTAAAATATAATTTACCTATTCTGCAACATTTGCAGCATTAGTATCACAAAAAATAAAAATACGTGTTTTGCACAACCTCACTATATTAGCCTGTTCTGACAACTCAGTGAATGTTTTTATACTAGCACATGCAAACATAATGATACACTTGGACTTACACTGTATGTGGCAAGACATTTATGACCAATGAAATTGCTCAAAAAGCAACAAATAGGAAACAGGAGAAGAGGAGGTAGGGGTATGAGAGAAGGAAGAGAAGAACAGGAAATCAATTTTAAATTTATCTGCAACTGGAAATAGAATCAGCAAAAACAAGTGCGAACAAATTTGTTTTTTCTATTTTTAAGTCATAATTGGGAAAATCAATGTCTTTGTTTTCACGAAAGTCAAACAAAGGTGGGCTAATAATTAAAGTTAATTAAAACGTTTATATCCAATTACAGTGATTTCAGTTTTAGCTGCAGAAAGTTTCCTCTCATCAAGTTATGATGAAAAGGGTCAATATATTATATCTTAAATATTGGTCATTGTCACATACTATTTTAATCCAAACAATGAATCCAAACACAATGAGCAATAATTCTTAAAAACAAGATAAAACGTTAAATCATTTAAATTTACAGTAAGCATAACTGTCCTCAAGTACAACACAATAGAACCCAAACAATATATCTTGATAAATAAATACACAGAAATAACCTCACTATGCAGATAAGCTATGAACGAACCTTCCAAGTTGACAATTTCCCGATGAGCTTATCCCAACCCTATAAGGCACAATGCAATGACTTATAAAAAATGTCCTAATTGCTATGTATTTTTTGCTGAATAAAAGAAAAGTTAGTGATATTGTTAAAATACTGAAAAAGGGCTTCATTTGGACTTAAATCATTGACAAATATAAGTGTGTCTGATCCACATAAATATGGAATGTATTTCTTTATGATATGACCAAAAGGAAGTAAATACAAATTCAATAAAAGAGGGTCCAGTATGGATCCCTGCGGTACTCCAAACTTTATAGGAACATGAAGATGTCCGAGAGAAACAGAAATGTGTGCATCCTGATCCAGAAAAGGAGGTTCTAGCCAAAGTCACACCTCCCACTGCACAGGACTGTAGAGGAGCCCCTTCAGTGGAAGACTGAGACACTCCCAGTGCAAGAAAGAGTGCTACCGCGGGGCCTTCATCCCCACCGCTGTCAGACTGTACAATAAGTCACTTTAAGTCACTAATGACTTGCAATGAAGAACCAGCACTGCTTGCCATGTTGCACACTTCTGTCTTTTGCACAATCTGAGTGATTATATCCATGCCAAATGGGACATGTACATTTCTCCATTGTGAGATCAATAAAGTTTATCTTATCTTATCCTATCTTAAATCAAATTAATTTCATGACGGTCAACAATGAATTCAATTTATTTATTTTTGTACAGCCCTAATTCACAATTGCAGTTGTCTCTGATTATTTGTTGATTAGAAATTCAAAACAAATAGATCACAAATGCAATTA